AGCCTCATGTTCTATCTACAAGGAACAAGGCTCTCTATCACTATGTTTTCCTGTTCTCTAACAAGACTATTAATAAACTTCAATGGATAATTCCAAAAAGCTCCTTGAAAGTTATAATATTCCTAATGGTAATCGTGAATGTACTTGGAAACTTGGAACTAAATATGATAAAATAAAATATCTTGTCATTGCATTTCAGGCTGCTACAGACAGAACAGACTACTCTGCATGCTGCAAAGTTCGAGTGTGCTGTGAGCTTGAAGAAATCTACGTTGAACTCAGTTTAATCAAAGATATCCACTTTAGGAATAGTTATTATGAAAGTGTCAAAGATTATATATACATGGAAGAAGATGTCTACTATTACTATTATCCGCTTCTAGTATTTGATGTATCGAAACAGAATGATAGAATTTGTTGTATATGCTCCATCTGATGTTACAATAAAAGCTTCTTCTATTAAAAACATTGCTCAAATACTCAATGATACTGTCTGGTTGTTTCAGAAAATATTGTTGAAATCAAGGATAATAGAGTTAAGGTTGTCAGTGTATAGATGAGCTTAGATCTTTAAAGGATCTCCTTCGGATTTACTTGTGAAATTCAAATCCGTTTTCTTTATCCAAGAGTTGAATTTCTTTGAATATCCATACCACTTAACAAACACTTCTTTAACTCCTTTACATTTTCTATGTTTTATCACTTTCTTTTCTATATAAGTATTTGGTCTTTTTCGTTAATTTGTCCATCTTTTGAGTCTTCAAATCCTAAGCCCAAGTGCAGATTAGTGGTTGCATTGCTGCTTGAATGCTTGCTTGAAAGCTTGAATTGTGTGGTGTTACAATGCTCGCATTTACCTTTCATCAATGAAAAATGATGAAGTACAATTTGAAAAACATAAATTAATTATTTGAGTCCTTGTCTTCAAGTTTTTTCCTCTTTTCTTCGCGTTCCTTACGACGATACTCTATTAGTTTCTTTTTCATACAATATCTAGCCTTAGCTTCTTGCATTTTCGTGAACTTCTCTTCTATCCATAAGTCTTCCTTAGCTTACTTATATTCATCAACTAATGTTTCTATATTAGAACTAGCACAATTGGAATTACTATTAGAAGGTGTATGTTGTGGTTTAGGTGATGAGATTTGAAGATGTTCCATTCCATCTATTTCTTCAAACTCGTCATCGTGATGTCGAAATTCCAGATCTCCAGAATCAGACATCTGAATAAATAATGATAGAATCAGATACTTTTAGTTTTGGAAGAAAAAACAAAATAGAGACTCAAAAGGGCGTATTCAAAAAATGAACAAATCATCTCTAGTTTGAAGGAAGACGTTCGACTGTGAAGGATAACTTATGCAAAAAATAGAAAATTTTTGAGTTTAGTCACTTTTTCTCTCCTTTCTCATTTCATCGTTCTCGCAATTTTCTGAAGTCCCGATGTGATTGATCGGTGTTCAGTTGGTCAAAGTAGTGAACCGGGTAAGTATCACACAAAAAAAACAGAGATTTCTAGTTTTTGAGATAATTTAAAAAGTAATTCTTTGCGGCCATTCAACTTCAAAATAATGTTGAATATTTGCGCTAAGTTAACACTATTTCACATTTGAACCAAGTTCCCGCGTTCCCGCGTTGGGTGGAGTGGAAGAGAGTGTCGCGTCTGTGCAGGGATGCAGAGGAAGGAGAGAAACTATCAAAATCGCATTCTTTCCTCAACTTGAGACTTTCCTTTTTCTGTAGTTAGCGTTGGTTTCATAATTATCGTCGTGGTTTCTCTTTTTTGGCATTTTGTTCTACTTTTTTTGTTCGAAAAATTATTAATTATGGACTTTTTCAGGTTATTGAAATTTTTTCATCAAATCTGTTATAAGGATCAATATGAATTCAGTATATTTTGTTTATGTTTTATCCTACCATAATAATCTTATTTTCAGTATATTGTTGTTCAATCGAACGATAGAGTTGTCAAAGTTGTTGTTGACGATGGGACCGTTCACAAAAATACTCTTCGTTCTGCTTTCCTACTTGCAGCTGATGACTCGATTGGTCTATTCAGGGGCGGCATGGCTTTAAAGTAAGTTTTTGAAGGTTCTGTTAAGATCTTACGATTTTCAGTTAGCAATTTTAAATAGAATTTTGAACAAACTTTTAATGTAAAATTTTGGATGCCCACAGGATTTATTCGTGTTGGGAGATAATTGGATGGGACAGGAGTTTGAGTTACAATGGGAAAAAGCCCGACGATCGCGGCCAGCCAGAGCGATGTCTGTGGAATTCGAAAAAGAAAGTATGATATATTTTTATTAAATGCTTGAAAATAGTAATTTAGGGATCCAGCAAGTAATCAATGAATGGGAGAAACGAGTCTTCATGGTGTCTGGCTATGATCTACAAGGCAGTGGAGTTTTAATATCGCATCAACAAATTTTAACCGCTGCACATCTCCACTTCAAGATCGACAAATCTTATACCGTCCGAGGAACAGATAATCGTTGCTTCAGTGCCAAATGCGAGTATATTTCTAAAAAATATGATTTCGCTATGCTTAAATCGACGGATTTGCCTGAATTCAGAACACCAATTGATCAACTTGGTCGTGGAAACAAATATGTGACTATGGTATGACTTTATTTTTGAGTTCATAAAATTTGCAGAAAATCTTTTTTAAATATTATTTATTATTTTTTTTTAGGGGTATCCCATTGGCATTGATAGTTCAAAACCGTCTGTTGCAAAAGGGGTTGTAGAAGGATTTATGGACGATCAAACTCACACAGGCAAGAATGAATAATTAATCATGATAAAACAAATTTTCCAGTTGGAGTTCCTGGATCGAGACGTGGGTACTCAGGAGCTCCGATTATTAACTATTCTGGATGTTTGACTGGTATTTTGCTCGGTGGTTCACCCGATGTGCATATGGATACAACAATTGGTGAATGTCTGAAGTCATCGGCGGAACAAAAATATTCTCGAATTTTGGGAATCTCTATCATCCACGTGGTCTACGATCGAGGTTTAGTTTAATTGATTTTAAATGAAATTTATTTTAATTTTTCAGAATGTTCGGACAAGGAAAGTTAAATTAATCACAGATTTTAATTTTTATGCAATGAAACTGATTTATTACTTTCAAAAAGGTTTAGAAGTTTGTTTTGCATCTCAAGACCAGTCGAATTATCCATTGAAGTTTATTAATAGTCTTGTTAGAGAACAGGAAAACATAGTGATA